TGGCTCTTAGAGGCCAAATTGGGGCTCTAAATTTTCTTGTTTTTGAGACTAGGGATCTCTAAGGTATTGGTATATGTGAGAACTTTTGTTCTAGGATCTTGGATAAATAGGCATTTTCTGTGAAGAGATGAGAGGGAAAAACAGGATAATAGAAGATTAATCAACCCCTACTCCAGCCTTCCATCAAACAAGATTGAGCCCAATGGGCTATGTAGCCCTATGAGAAAGCAGAGTTCAACAAAGACTATAAGACTCTGAATGGAGACACTCGGGAGTCTGGGTGATAAACAGCAGCACAGAAAGTGGGAAAGGGACTTCCTCTACTTCATTATTGTTCCCTGAGGCCCTCTGAGAGCTTGGGGTAGTCAAGGGCTGTGCCTGGCAGAGTTATCCCCATGAAGCTAAGGAGATCCCAGAGAAGGATATGAGCAGATCATTTCTTCTTGGGCTCATGTTTTTTGTTGTTTTTATTTTTGTTTTTTTAATTTTATTTTTCAATTACAGTTTACATTCAATATTATTTTTTATTAGTTTCAGGTGTACAGCATAGTGGTTACACAGTCATAGACCATACGGTGTTCCCCCTGATTTTCCAGTACCCACCTGGCACCATACATAGTTATTACAATATTTTTGACTATATTCCCTACTCTGTACTTNCACAGTCATAGACCATACGGTGTTCCCCCTGATTTTCCAGTACCCACCTGGCACCATACATAGTTATTACAATATTTTTGACTATATTCCCTACTCTGTACTTTACATTCCCATGACTATTTTGAAACTACCAATCTGTACTCTCGATCCCTACACCTTTTTCATTGGGCTCATGGTTTTCAAGAGAAGTATTCATCTCCATGATGTACAGTAATATTCTGCCTCTTGTCCTAAAGAATAGATTCTTTGAATTAGGGTTTAACCTCATCTTGAATTCCAATCATGAGTCCCTCTTCCTCACTTGCTAATAATGCCCATGAGTCGCATTTACTCTGCTATTCTATGAAAACATTTTATTACCCATGTTTGAAGCATTGGCATGTACTCAGAACAATGTCTTACGCATTGTATCCCATTGCTTTACCAATGCTTCAACTATGCACCTTTCCTACTGATAGTTAATGTTCTATTCTCTATAGCAATTAAGGGATGGGTGTTTCTATTGTTTTTTTGTTTTTTGGGTTTTTTTTGCGGTCAGTTTTAAACTCTTCTGAAAAGTCTAGCTAAGGACTCTTTGTGAGAACAACTTCTTTTGTCCAAAACTGATTATATGCATTGTTTTGTCATTATTAAATCTTAAGATATTGTCCAAAGATGCATATCTCATTCTTTGACACCATCGATAGAACTAGTTAATTATCTTTTATTTTGTCTTTTCTTATGAAAATTCTAAACTTAAGCGGCATAGACAAACATTATATGTTTTAAGTCCTTCAGCCTTCTGCCTGACTTCATAGATCCTAGAGGTATCTCTCAGATTTTAGGTGATGGTATCCCCATGTGTTGGATAGTGTTCATTGTCTCTCAGCTTTGTATTTAACCTTCTCTTTACCACAACAGTTGGAAGGCTGCAAGACACATTTTGAAAAATCCTTCACCAGCTGGCATCCAATGGGAGGTAGGAAAAGAAAACCTGGATACAAGGAGAAGCCATTTTCATGGTTTCTGCAGGCATCTGCGGCAGTGGAGGCAACAGCAAGCACATCAGCAACAGCAGCAGCAGGGGCAGTGACGGTGGTGATCACAAATGCAACATCCGCAGCTTTGGAAAGAAGATAGAAGCAAGGGTGGCTGGTGGCTGGTGGGTCCTGGGTTCTGCTCAGGCAGTAGTGTCCCAACAGGAGCAGCCTCAGGGATGCAGTGTGCACGGGCTCTGGGTAAAATCATTTTCCCCTGTGTGTTCCAGCTCTAGGTGTGATCATATTTGAGTGTAATTACCAATGTTTGGATCAGCTAATCTTTCTTGTTTTGCTTCTCTGGCCTATTCGAATACTTTTGTAACAGATTCCTTACATCAAACTCCTTCTCCGTTGAACACCTAGACCTGTTTCTGTTTTTCTGATTGGGCAGAGACTAATGCACGCTGTTCTGAATCAGCACGTGTGGGTAACAGTCAGCATATGTGTTCTGTCCCAGAAGGCAGTTCGTCATTTCCTGGAAAAACATTCAATGAAGACTCAGTTGACAACGTCAACTCTGCATGCAGCTTTTCTTTATCTCTCAGTAGAGAATCACCAAACTTGCAGGTCCAGTGAGAGGTTTTGTGACATTTACTGGCATTTATGGACTCTTGTGTGTGCCATCTTTATTCCCCAGGAGATTTGCATTTAAATAATTTTAAAATGCAGACTTTTTGTATCTGTTGAGTCCTTCCCCCTTTAAGCTATACAATTTGTAAATCTTATCTCCCTGTGTTTTTCTTCCTCTTAGCCTCCAAGAATTTTTAATTTGTGGTTTTCTTTTGGCATGCTTCTTCTAGTCTCTCTAAGGACTTTTTAATCTTTGCAGATAAAGCTGGCATTCATAGAGGATTCTCAAGAAAGAAAGGAAGTTTGTAAGAATAATGCTAGCCCAGGGGAAGGGATAGGATTGCTCTCATGAATCAGGTTAAAATATGAGACTTACGCTGAAGACATCAGTGTGGCAAGAATCTTGTGCCATAGGTTCATTACCATCATATGTAGCCTCTATCCAAGATCAAATACGGAAGATATACGCCTCCAAAAATTAAGAAAGGAACATTATCTTGAACTATGCGACAATTCCGTAGGTTACCACAGTCAAATTCATGCCTGTACCTTTATATTTAGGTTCTTTCATTATTCTGAGCAATGGGGGTGGGGACTACTAACTCCAAATCTGGGAAATATTCATGTAATGGCCTGTTGTTTCAATGGATTACTTGATCTTTAACATTCAGCCTCTCTGTCTCCATGTACTTTCCTCCCCTATGTCTGCATGTGACATAGATATGATAAATTTAGAAGTTGACGCATGATTAGACACTAAATTTGGAAGAAAAAAATTTAACTGTGCAGTTGAATGTTGTCCAGAAGCAGAAAAAGGCATGAGGCCAAATTCCCCCGGCTCTTTGTTTCATCACATGATGTTGCTTGGATATCAGCTTATCAACAGATTGAATTTTCACCCCCACCACTGCAAGAAGAAAGAGACCTTGTAAAAAATTACTTGGAATATGAATGAAGGCTTTTAAAAAAGGGGGAGACAACAATACAAGGTAAGTTTCTTTTAAGCAAGCATGCTTTTTTTATTTCAGATATAAGTTATTTTGTAATTTTTTCCTCCTGAATTCCCATTTAATCAAACTTTGTCAGGTACAGACCACTTGAATAGGTAAGATGGGCTTTCTCAGCAATAGCTCAAGAAAAGCACACATAAATTGTTGCCATGAGAAATATCATCAGTCATTTTCTTATGCTATTTAAGAAAAGAAGAAATATTTCCAGCTTTGAAAAATATTTATGCTCTGCTCTACAGATCTGGAAAATGGGAGAAGGGATATTGAAGTGATTTGAGTACAGGACTTCTATCACAGAAGACATTAAAAGAATATATCTTGGTTATGGTTTCTGGAATGCACGTTGAAAGAAAACAGTATTAAATAAAATATTTATAGTTTGACTTATAAGTTCTTATCATGGAAATAAGATACATGGAGATACTGACTGATGTTTTCCTAACATATTTCTCTTTTGGAATGACTGAGCCTGAGGTCTGTGAACTCAGAACCAAAGTTTTCTCACATGTTAAAATACTTCTTAAGTGTGTGTTCATGTGTTCGCTTGTATGCATACATGTGCATGAGCATACAATAGAGTAGAGGAGAGAAAGAAGGAGCTGGAATAAAGTGAGAGCATTCCATATTCACGATCTCAGTTAATCACACAACCTGATGAGGTAGGCATTGTTGCCGGGGCAAAATTGTGAACAGAGGGGGAAATGCTCAGTGTTTCCATTCTGTGCCTTGGCAACCTCATTCCAATATGTCTATTCTTCTTACATTGTTAATATTTTAATTATTATGTACTCCTCAGATTCTAAATCCTAAATTACATGGAAAGGAGTCTTACTCATAAGCAGGTGTGACTTCATTTTGTATCTTTGTCAGGCAAGTGGCAAAAAAATGTGGCTAGGTTTAATAGTTGCTTTTTAGTATGATGCTATAAAATTGCAAATCTAAATGTGCAAGAAATGGATAATGATGTAAAGGTATACTACACTGCCACTAAATATGAGCTGGGAAAATGCATAATACGTAGAGCATGATCTCTCTTTTCTAAAATCACAAACAATGAACCCAGAAAAAATTAATAAAAGGAAATCAATCAAATTCCAACAATAGTTATGAGCAGTTAGATTATGGTTGATGTTATTTTTTTCAATTTTTAATTATTTCTCAATTTTCCATAATGATATCTATTAATTTTAGAATCAGAGAAGATAATAAATGTTTGAAAATTTCAATAAGTAACTGCTGTGACATGGTATGGCTCTACAAACCACCTGTTTCAAACAGAGTTAAGCACACAGACATAGGGCTCTGAATTATTCCTCCCATAAAAAAGAGATGAGAATAGAGCCCGGGCAGGGTAGCTCAGCTGGTTAGAGCATCGCCTGATATGCCAAGGTTGTGGGTTTAATCCCTGATCCCTGGTCAGGGCACATACAAACATCAACCAGTAAATGCATAAATAAGTGGGACAACAAATCAATATTTCTCTCTCTCTCTCTCTCTCTCAAAAAATCAATTTAAAAATAATAAAATTTTAAAATGATGAGAATTAGGAAAAGCGTAGAACTAAGCAGTCTGGTGAGGTCCCTTACTTGGAAACATGTAAGAAAAATTCTCATTCTTTGAAAGACATAAGATTTATTTATTTACTTGCTTACTTATTTACTTAGGCGCATTCTCAAAATTGGCTGAACCAAATGCAATCTTACGCTGTGCCTTGTTGTCCCTGGGAGGTACAGGATAAAGAATGGGAGGAAAACGGAAAAGACAACGAAAGCCTCGGAATGGTGCACAGATTCCTTGCATTCGAGTTCCCCCGTCTGCCTGTGACACTTCATTAATGAAGGTACAGCCTTTATTCACAGATGAGGGGACCTTGACTGTCTCTCCTTCAAGGCTTGAGGAATCTCTATGTCTTCGTTTGGCCAGCATCTGGGAGAACATTGAGCCTAGTGCAGCCCTCAGAGCAGGCTGAGTGTGTGTGAGGGAGTAAATGAGCGTGGCTGCCCTAACCCTAGGCCCACCCCAGCGACGGGAATCTCACTGACCGACTGCACTCTGGCTCCTGGCTAGAGAGCCAAGTTCGCTCCTTTCAGTAAAAATTAGTTCAAGTCATTCTCATCAACACTCTTTGTAAACATTTCAGTTCTCTGCCACCCCCTCAAAAAGGAATACGCAACTGGATAAGCATGTTAGAAACGTCATTGTTACTTCTTGTTTTGGAAGCTGATAGTTCTACTAAGGAAAAGTAGTTTTTCTTTTTATTAAATAAAACCATAACGTTTAAAGTTTTATCTTATNACTGATAGTTCTACTAAGGAAAAGTAGAGTTTTTCTTTTTATTAAATAAAACCATAACGTTTAAAGTTTTATCTTATATAATGGAAACTCCCATTGCATGTTGGAGTTTTGCTCTTGAAATTGGCTTGGAATTTTCATGTTATAGTGCTCTCAATCATTTGAAAAGGCTTAATTAGGAATCCATATTCTTCTTCAAATGTATTATCTTTGAAAACATTTAATTCAGAAACCCTAAAGCTGAAATGATGTCTCGAATTGTGAAGTACTTGGTTTTGCTGCTTTCACTCTGGACCTCAAAAACACACACAAAACAACCAAACAAAAACTGATCCACATATTTCAACTCCACACAAAATTTCTAACAGATAAAAGTCACTTTATTTTTATAAATAAATATCTTAGGTTTAGATTTAAAACATGGTTATCAACTAGATTTTAAAACTTTGTCATTGTTTTGATTTTTTTGGCCTGGGGTGAACTTATTTTATCTTGATTTTTCTAGAATGTTGATGTCACTATCTCAGTTTCCCCACCTGCATATAATAAGCACTTAAGATATATTAGGTGTATAATAGTAATTGAAGCCCAGGCCCTTTTGTTTTTCCCTAGAAGAGATGGCAGCCTCCTGAATGGTCTCCACACCAGTGGTCTGTTTTCCTTTAAGCTCATTCTCCACAGCAGGGCCAGAATGATCTTTCTAAAATGCAAATCTGGTCAGCTTAAGGTGTGACATTTTGGGGCTGGATAATTCTTTGTCTTAAGAGCTGGAGGTTCAGCAGCATTCCTGGCCTCTACTCACTGAATACCAGTAGCATCCCCAAAATTCCCCCAGACATTGCCAAACGTCTCTTGAGGGCCAAAATCACTCCTATTGAGAACCATTGCCTTAAAGACCTTCAATGGTTCCTCATAAAAAAAAAGGGGGGGGCAATCTTTAAACTCAACATAGCACAAAAGGTTTCCACAATCTTCCCCTGCCCAACTCTATAGCCTTTTCCAGCTCAGACTCTATATTCTGGCTAAAGTAAAGGAAAAGTCTGCTTCCCAATATATACAGATATGTGTGCCCTATAAGAAAAATTGTACCACTTTCTCCCTCTAATTAGCCCTTCTTTTTCTTCTAGTCAGATGGTTCTCAAATTTTAGTGTGCATGTATCAGAATTACCTGGAGGACTTGTTAAAGTTCAGAGTGCTGGGCCCCACCCCCGGAGTTTCTGATTCTATAGATCTGGGATAGTGCCTGAGAATCTGCATTTCTAACAAGTACCAGGTGATGCTGATGCCTTTTAGGACCAGGATTCTAGTCCCTTTAGGGACTTCCTATTCACCCTTAAGACTAGATGTGTTGATCTTCTCATTTAGGAACTTTCCTTGACTGCTGCACGCAGAGTTCCTTTTTCTTTCTGTTGAACCCTTAGCACATTACTCATCTATTCATCTGCCTATATCCCCTGCTTACTGACAACTCAGTGGAAAGTTCTCTTTTACCCATCCCGAGGCCTGGCATACTTCAGGGCCTGTGTAGATTCTCACAGCCTACCTTCCTCAAAAAGGACTATAATAGATACATTTTAAAAACTAAAAAATCCTTGGATCTCCCTCAGCCCAATACTTTGACCTACTTACCTAGAACCTTTTACTTAGCCATTTCACCTTTATTCAGGCCAGTGGAAGATTGTTTAAGTAAACTAAGTAAGGAAACGACCCAATTGTTGTTTTGTGAGAGAGGAGAGCGAGGAGTGAGAGCGAGAGCAAGAGTGAGAAGCATCTTATTTAGGGAAAGTCAGCTTTGAATACATCACACTCTTAACTCTATAAACTTCACCAACTCATCAGAATCACCTGCTGTGCTTTGATAGGACCTAACCTGGGGGCAGCAGCGCTACTTTTACAGCATCATGAGGATTTACAACTCCAGGTCCCAGTGGGAGGCCCTGCAGACCCGCTATATTCACAGCCTTCAGCTCCAGCAGCTGCTTGGTGAGTTTAACTACCTGACCTGGACCAAATGCCTCAAGAAGGGACTCTTGCACTGCAGCCAGAAGTCAAGTTTCCTGATAAAAAAAATTCAAGCAGAATGTTCTCTGTCAATGGCTATTTTATCAATGTGGTTTTTTTAAAAAAAGTATTCCAGACATTAGAAAGCAAGGTTCTATGCGTAAATTAAGAGGGTTTAAAGAAATTGGAGGACAGATTATTATGAAATGTCAGCAACTCTGAGATTTACAGGAACTTGATCTAGTGGAAACAGCCATGGCCTCAGGCAGATGGTCTGGGCTCAAACCACAGCTCAGCCCCTTGCTGGTTGTGTGAACTCAAGAGATTTGGTTTACTCACAACAGGAATATTTATACTGTTGAACATTTACCATGTTCCAGACATTGTGTGGGGAGCTCTACATGTACTTTCTCATTTTCTCCCCACTTCACAGCTGTGGGAAACTGCAGCTCAGCAGGTTACATAACTTGATCAAGATCACACAAATAGTAAATGTCAGTTAGGACCATGGCCTACAAAGGTTATGAATTTTCATCCCCATGCTATGCTCTCCCTCCTCTTTCATGAACCTTGTGGGATTTTATGAAGCACAAATGAAATAATGGTTCTGAAAGACCTTCATAGGTCATAAGCGACAACCTACAGTAATTGTTGTGAAATCTCTTTTCTTCTCAAAAATGTTTTCAGTCTTCAGCTCCTCTCTATTACATACATCTCCTAACTCACATAGAGGTTTATTTATTTATTTATTTATTTATCTTCCTAAACTGTTATAGAATAGTGAGAAGCTAGGAAAACTCCTAAGCAAATGGAATAGGGAAACTGAGACAAGAAAGTTAAACATGGCCAAACAGTTTGGGGAGCTTGCAGGTAGCTTGTAAATAATAACAAGCCATTATCTTCCTCAACCAAGGACACTTGAGAGCAAAGACTAAATACCCCCCCTCACTAACTAAAAGAATGCAAGAAAGGAAGGGGAAGGGAAGGGGGAGAAGAGGAGGAATCTTAATGTAACTAGAGAATACATAACTTAAATCATCCTAAACTAACTAAGAGACAGCAGAGAGGAGGGAGGCGGGTGGAGGAAGAGCACAGTCTTATCTCATCCCACCGTTTAAACAGAGAAGCCAGCAATTTTGGGATTGAATTGCCAGGGTCTTCTCATAAATTCTGGGAAAGCCATAACAAAGTAAAAGGGAAAGAGACCTTCAGAGTTAACCTGTACCAGGATATCTAGCAGAGAAATTTAAAAATCTGTAGGACAGAAAAGTATGTAAGGCAGAAACCGCCCACCACACTCACTCTTCAGATTAGCTGAGAGCCCATCCGTGCTTCCTGTTGGATGATAGATTTGCTTCCTTTACTTCTTTAATAAATTTGCATGCTTTACATTCTTTAATAAATTTGCTTTAACACAACTCAATTATCTGGAGTCATTTGTTTAAATTCATTCATATGAAAAGAAAAGAACCAAGGAGGGGACAGCCCTTTCCCTTCAACTCAGGGGGCTGTCCCATAGCACCTTTCCTGGTGTTTTGGGTGCCTGTAACAAAACTATTCATTTTGCGTTAGCACATCTACTTAAACTGTTATTTCTGTATTTGTACAAAAAGAAAAGATCTTTTTGCAAGTGATTTAATAACAAAAACAATAACAGTAGCTATCTTTTATTAGGTCTTCCTATGTGCCAGCTACTGCTCTAAGCATGTTGCAAATATTATCTTACTTAAAATTCAAACATGTTTACATGGTGGATGCCTTTATAACCCACATTTTCCACAAGAGAAACTGAGACATGGATAAGTTAAAAATTTGATAAGGGTCATGTAACTAATAAATGGCAGAGTCAGGATTCAGCTGGTCACAATGATTGAAGTGTAGCAGAAACATCATCTAGTGGCTTTGTAAAACTGCTTAGAAGCCAATGAACCTAGAAGCAGAATAATCAATGTTTAGTGCACATAAAATCCACCTCTGCATGTTATTAAAATGCAAATTTTCCAAACCTAACTTTCCAAGTTTCTGATTTGAAACGTATTGCGAGTAGTACCAGAAATCTGCATTTTAAAAAAGCATTATCATTTACTTAATTTATTCTATTTTTTATGGCATTTATTGAGGTTACACTGGTTACAAAATTACAAATGTTTCAGGAGTACAATTCTATAATACATCATCTGTACATTGTATTGTGTGTTCACCACCCAAAGTCATGTGTCTTTCCATCACCATTTATCCCCACTTGACTCTCTCCACCACCTTTCCCTCTGGTAGTGATCATATTGTTGTCTGTGTCTATGAGTTTTTGTTTGTTTTGCTTAACTCCTTAAGGTTTTCCACCCAGCCCCCACTCACCCTCCCCTCTGACAGCTGTCAGTCTGTTCTCTGTACCTATGAGTCTGTTTCTATTTTGTTTGTTTATATTATTCATTAGATTACACTTATAAATGAAATCAAATGGTGTTTGTCTTTCTCTGACTGGCTTATTTCACTTAGCATAATACTCTCCAGGTCCATCCATGCTGTTCCAAAGGGTAAGATTTCGTTCTTTTTTTATAGCCCAGTAGTATTCCATTGTGTAAATGTACCACATCTGTTTTACCCATTCATATACTGAATCACACTTGGCTATTGTAAATAATGCTGCAATGATCATAGGGGTGCATATATTCTTTCAAATTAGTGTTTTGGGTTTTTGCGGTTATATTCCCAAAAGTGGAATTGCTGGATCATAAGGCAGTTCCATTTTTAATTTTTTGAGGCAACTCCATAAGGCTTTCCACAGTGGCTGCACCAATCTACCTTCCCCCCAAGAGTGCACAAGGGTTCCCTTTTTTCCACATCCTCCCCGACACTTGTAGTTTGTTGATTTATTGATGATAATCATTCTGAAAGGTGTGAGGTGATATCTCATTGTGGTTTTATTTTGCATTTCTCTGATGATTAGTGACTCGAGTATCTTTTCATGTGTCTACTGGCCATCTGTATGTCCTCCTTAGAGAAGCGTCCATTCAGGTTCTTTCCCCATTTTTTAAATTGATTTGTTTGGTTTTCTGGTGTTGAGTTTTATAAGTTCTTTATAAATTTTGGTTATTAACTCCTTATCAGATGTATCATTGATGAATATGTTCTCCCATTCAGTGGGTTGTCTTTTCATGTTATAGATGGATTCCTTTGCTATGCAAAAACTTTTTAGTTTCATGTAGTCCAATTAATTTATTTTTCCTTTTGTTTCCCTTGCTCTGGTCTCTCTATTGTGTTCTGTTGATCTATACGTCTATTTTTATGCCTGTACCATGCTGTTTCAGTTACTACGGCCTTGTAGTTGATGTGGTTTGATATCTGGTAGTGTGATTCCTCCAACTTTGTTTTTCTTTGTCAAGATTGCTGTGGCTGTTCTGGGTCTTTTGTGGTTCCAAATAAATTTTTGGAATATTTTTTCTAGTTCTGTGAAATACATCATTGGTATTTTGATAGGAATTGTGTTGAATCTATAAACTGCTTTGGGTAGTATGGATATTTTAATGATGTTAATTCATTTTATTCAGGAACACAGTATATGCTTCCACTTATTTATAGCATCTTTAATTTCATTCTTCAGTACAGATCTTTTACATCCTTGGTTAAATTTATTCCTAGATTTTTGGGGGGTTTTGATTCAATTGTAAATGTCATTTTCTTTGTTTCCCTTTCTGAAAGTTCATCATTGGTGTATGCAAATGTAACTGATTTCTGGATATTTATTTTGTATCTGGCTACTTTACTGAATTCATCTATCAGTTCTAGTAGTTTTTTGTGGAATATTAGGCTTCTCTACATACAGTATCATGTCATCTGCAAATAATGACAGTTTTACTTCTTCCTTTCCAATTTGGATACCTTTTATTTCTTCTTCTTGTCTGAAAGCTGTGGCTAGGACTTCTAGTACTACATTGAATAAAAGTGGTGAAAGTAGACATCCCAGGTTTTTCTCATTCTTAAGGGAAATGCATTTAGTTTCTACCTTTTGAGTATGAGGTAAGCTGTGGATTTGTTGTATATGGCCTTTATTATGTTGAGATATATTTCCTCTATTCCCAATTTGCTGAGAGTTTTTAATATAAATAGGTGCTGGATTTTATCAAATGCTTTTTCTGCATCTATTGATATGACCAAGTTATTTTTATCCTTCATTTTGTTTATGTGATTCAATATTCACATTATTGATTTGTGGATATTGTATCAACCTTGCATCTCCAGAATAAATCCCACTTGATCATTTTCATGTATTATTGACTCTGGTTTGCTAATATTTTGTTGGGGATTTTAGCATCTATGTTCATCAGGGATATTAGTCTATACTTTTCTTTCTTTGTAGTGTCTTTATCTGGTTTTGGAATTAGGATAATGCTGGCCTCTTAAAATCAGCTTGGGAGTATTCCCTTCTCTTAAAATTTTTGTATAGTTTGATAAGGATAGATGTTAGTTCTTTCAGTGTTTGGTAAAATTCACTTGTGAAGCCATCCAGTCCAGGACTTTTGTTTGTTGTGAGTTTTTTGATTACTGATTTGATTTCATTAATTGTAATTGGTCTATTCAGATTTTTTTATTCTTTCTGATGCAGTTTTGGAAAATTGTGTATTTCTGTGGAGTCAGTTGTTACTTCTTCTCTTTCATTTCTGAGTCTGGTTAAGGGTTTGTCAATCTTGTTTATCTTTTCAAAGAACCAGCTCTTGGTTTCATCGATCTTTCATGTGTTTTTTTTTTATACTCTATTTTATTTCTTCTCCTATCTTTATTATTTTTTACCTCCTACTCACTTTAGGCTTTGTTAGTTGTTCTTTCTCTAGTTCCTTTAAGTGTAAATTTATATATTTCTTGTTTCTTCAAGAAATGCTATGAATTTCCCTCTTAGGACTGCTTTTGCTCTGTCACATAGATTTGGGGGTTGTGTTCTCATTTTCATCTGTTTCAAGGTATATTTTGATTTTTTCTTTGATCTCATTGTTATCCCATTCATCATTTAGTAACATGTTATGGCAATGTTTTTGTGTATTTTTCAGTTTTTTTTCTTGTGACTGATTTCTACTTTTATACCATTTTGGTCAGAGAAGATGCTTGATATAATTTCAATTTTTTAAAATTTATTGAGACTTATTTTGTTTCCTAACATATGGTGTATCCTAGAAAATGTTCCATGTGCACTTGAAAAGAATGTATCTTCTGCTGCTTTGGGGTGAAATGTTCTGAAGATATCTATTAAATCTATCTGATCTTGTGTGTCATTTAAGGTTACTGTTTCCTTGTTGATTTTCTTTCTGGAAGATTTATCCATTGATATCAGTGGGGTGTCAAAGTATTTTATTATGACTGTGTTACAGTTGATCTCTCCCTTTATGCCCATCAAGATTTGTTCTATATATTTAGGTGCTCCTATGTTGGGTGCATAATGTTTATGAGGGTTATATCCTCTTGTTGGATTTCTCCTTTTATCATTATGCAGTGACCTTCTTTGTCTCTTATTATAGCTTTTGTTTTAAAGTTTATTTTGTCTGGTATAAGTATTGCTACTCCAGCTTTTTAAAATTTCCATTTGCACTAAAATATTTTTTTAAAGTATTATTAAAAGTGGTCTTAGCCAGATGATTGTGTAGGTGGTCTGCAGGTTGTATCTTAAAAATTAACAATTAACAGCATTAAACTGTCCATACCACCCAAAGTAATCTAAAGATTCAATGCAATCCCTGTTAAAATAGCATAAGCATATTTCACAGATCTAGAACAAATATTCCAAAAATTTATGGAACCAAAAAAGACCCCAAATAGCCTCAGCAGTTTTGAGAAAGAAGAACAAAGTTAGAAGGATCACAATATAGATATCAAATTATACTACAAAGCCATTGTAATCAAGACAGCCTGGTATTGGCACAAGAACAGACATATAGAGCAATGGAACAGAACAGAGACCTCAGAAATTGACCCATACCAATAACATCAATTTATATATGTGTGTATAAATATTTATATATAGAATATATATATTTATACACAATAAACAATATATATATTGTTTAATACTCACCGGAGGATATTTTTTCCATTGATTTTTTTAAAGAGAGACTGGAGGGGAGGGACGGAATGGGAGAGAGACAGAAACATTGATTTGCTACCTCTCAAATGTGCCCCAGTGGGAAGTGGGGGCATCTGTAACACTGTTAAATAAATAAATAAATAAATAAATAAATACAGAGAGATTGAATATATCTGTTTCTGGATTGAAGAAAGTTTTGCTACTAATGATAATCAATTCACATGAAGATTCTTGGCTCAAGTCTCTGTCCAAATGATCTGTCATGATAATCAATAACTGTGTATTTATTAATCTACTGAATGATAAATGCAAAAGAAGAAAAACATACTTCCTGTCTTAATAAATCATACAATCTGGATATGCTAAATACAATTGTTTCTATCCTGCAAAGTAGAAGAAATTTTGTGAATCTCTGAGTATTTGCAGTGTTGTTCACTTATTTGTTTTGTAAAATTGTTGACCTTAAAGTTTCTCTCACTTTTCCCCCCCAGGTTATATTACTCAACAGGAAGCCTTGACTTGTGCTGCGGTACTTAAAGATTCAACCAAGAAAGCCTCAGCCAAGGTAGTTCCTCAAAGAACCATCCCCCGAAGGGCTTCAGCCATGACAAGAACATGGCTACCAGCATTCCCTGTGTCTGTGGTTCGACCCAGGACCAAAAGTGCAAGGCTCTGATCTTTGAGAACCAAGACTTTACACAAGCTCTCAAACAGGCAGTTTGCTCATGTACCTGGCATCTAGCAAGTGTGTAGTGTATATTTGTTGAATGAGCATAAATAAAAACTCATACAAAACCACAAATAAAAATAATCTTTCTCCCATGAACATAAATTTTACCAGCAAGAACAAGTTGAGAGGTTTAAGAGCAATGGAGCTAAGAGTAAATAAGCCTTTCACTTCACATATAATTTATAGAGTAAAATGGCATTTGAAGCTTTCAAAGTAAAAGCTTCTTTGGAATTAGAGCCTCCCAGTGAAGTCCCAAGAACAGTGAAAGGGAAAAATTCATCAGAGGGTTCCAAATCCCCTATCACTGGATAACCATTCCCTGAAAGCTACCCACTGCACATATTGAAAACACCCAAACAAACACAGAGTTAACAGGGAGCAGGCAGGGCTTCTGAAGCCATATCTTCACAGCCACAACTGGACTATACATTTCCATGTCTTTCTTCCTTTTTTTCTTCCCCATCAAGACACAACAATCAACTTGGCCCCAAATCTTCTGGTTCTAGCCAGGCTCAACAATCTCTTTGAGTTATCTTGAAACTTGGACTTATCCACCTGCCACATCTGGGTTCATTCTGCATGCTGTAATTGACCTTCACATGAGTAAGAAAATTCATCTTACTCCATGCAGCTAAAGATACACTCTCATCAGAACAAGAAATAGCACACACAAAAAAACAAATTTTAAGTCTAACCTTCCCACAGACTTGATGGTTTTAAGTAAAGCACAAAAGACTATGCAAACAAGCAAAAAATGAGCTTGTTCTTTGAAAAGATAAACAAGACTGAAAAACCTTTAACTAAACACATCAAGAAAAAAGAGAAAGGACCGAAATAAATAAAATCAGAAATGAAAGAGGAGAAGTAACAACTGACACCACAAAAACACAACGGATTGTAAGAATATATTATCAACAACTATATGCCAATAAATTGGATAATTTGGAAAAAACAGATAAATTCCTAGAAACATACAAACTTTCAAAACTAAATAAGAAGAATTTAAAAAATTCTGAATAAACCAATTACAACTAATAAAACTGAAGCAGCAATAAAAAACTCCCAAGACAAAAGTCCTGAATGAATGGTTTCATAGGTGAATTTTACCAAACAATGTGGATATTGAACCACATAAACAAAATTAAGACTAAAAATAACTTGATCATATTAATAGTTGCAGAAAAAGCATTTGCTAAAATCTCGTATATGATAAAAACTCTCAGCAGAGTGAGAATGGAGGGAACATACCTCAACATAATAAAAGCCATATATGACAAACCCACAGCCAACATCATACTTAAAGGGCAAAAATTAAAAGTGTTTTCCTTAATATCTGGAATAGACAAGGATGTCTACTTTCACCACTTTTATTCAACATAGTACTGGAAGTCCTAGCCACAGCTCTCAGACAAGAAGAAGAAATAAAAGGCATCCAAATTAGAAAGGAAGAAGTAAAACTCTCATTTTTGCAGATGACATGATACTATAAATAAAGAACCCTAAAGATTCTACACAAAAAACTACTAGAATTGATAAATTAATTCAATAAAATAGCAGGATACAAAATAAATATCCAGAAATCAGTTGCATTTGTATACACGAATGATGAACTATCAGAAAGGGAAACAAAGAAAAAAACAACCCATTTACATTGCATCAAAAAACTCCAAAAATCTAGGAATAAATTTAACCAAGGATATAAAATACCTGTACTTGGGAAATTATAAAACAATAAAGAATGAAATGAAGAAAATACAAATAAGTTGAAGCATATACCATGTTCATGAATAGGAAGAATTAATATTATTAAAATCTTGGACATTTCTCATAGCAACATTTACTCAAAGCAATTTCTATAGATTCAACACAATTCCTGTCAAGATACCAATGATGTGTTTCAGAGAACTAGAAAAATGTTTCAAAAATTTATATGGAATCATAAAAGACCCCAAATAGCCACAGAAATCTGGAGAAAGAGGAACAAAGTTGGAAGAATTATGCTACCTGATATCAGACTGTATACTACAATGCTATAGTAATCGAAACAGCATGGTACTGGCATAAAACAAACATATAGATCAATGGGACAGAATAGAGAGCCCAGAAATAAACCTAGGCCTTTACAATCAATTAATATTTGAAAAAGAAGGCAAGAACACACAATGGGGTAAAGACAATTTATTCAGTAATGGTGTTGGGAAAATTGTACAGATACACACAAAAAAATGAATCTAGACCACCTTATTACACCATACACAAGAATAAACTCAAAATGGTTTAAAGATGTAAATGTAAGACTCAAAACCATAAAAATCCTAGAAGAAAACATAGGCAGTAAAATCTCAGACATTTCTCATAGCAACGTTTTTTCAGATGTATCTCTCCAGGCAAGGGAAACAAAGAAAAAATAAATAAACACCAGGGACTACATCAAACTAAAAAGTTTTGCACCATAAAGGAAATCATCAACAAAATGAAAAGATAACCCAATGAATGGGAGAACATATTTGCCAATGATATATCTGATAAGGGGTTAATATCCAAAATTTATAAAGAACTTATAAAACGCAACACCAAAAATACAAACAATACAATTTTAAAAACTGGCAAAGGACTTGAATAGACACTTCTCCAAAGAGGATATACAGATGGCCACTAGACATACAAAAAGGTGCTCAAGTCACTAATTGTCAGAGAAATTCAAATTAAAACCACAGTGAGGTATCACTTCACACCCGTCAGAGTGGCTATCATCAACAAATCAACAAACTACACGTGTTGACAAAGATGTGGAGAAAAGAGAATGATTGGGCACTGTTGATGGGAATGCAGACTTGTGCAGCCACTGAGGAAAACAGTATGAAGCTTCCTCAAAAAATTAAAAATGGACTTGCAGTATTACCCAGCAATTTCACTTCTGGGAATATATCTAAAGGCACCTGAAACACTAATTTGAAAGAATATATGCACCTCTATGTTCACTGAAGAATTATTTACAATAGCCACCATTTAAAAGAAGCCCAGTTTCCATCAGTAGATGAGTGGATAAAAAAACAGTGGTATGTTTATGTAATGGAGTACTACTTGGCTGTAAAAAAGAAGGAAATATTACTTTTTGAAAACAGCCTGAATGGGCCTGGAGAGTATTACGCTAAGTGCAATAAGCCTGTCAGAGAATGACAGATACTATATGATTTCACTTACATTTAGAATGTAATGAACAAAATAAACAAACAAACCAAACAGAAATAGACTCACAGATGCAGAAAACAGACTGACAACTCTCAGAAGGGAGGGTGGTAGGGGAGCTGGGTGGAAAAGAGAAGGGATTAAGCAAATAAATAAAAACTCATAGACACAGACAACAGTGTGGTGATTACCAGAGGGGAAGAGAGTTAGGGGGAGGCAGAAGAAGGTAAAGGGGTAAATGGTGATGGAAGGAGACTTAACTTTGGGCAGCGAACACATAATACAATATAGAGATGATATATTATAGAATTATACACTTGAAATGTATATACTTTTATGAACCTAAATGTTCAACCTCATAAAAGGAGTTGGTTTAGCAAGGGGTGTGCTAATATTGATATGAAAGGAAGAAACTGAAATATTACCAGAAAAAATATTTTAAATAACCCCCCAAACCTCACTGATGATTATTATCATCTCTCTGCTACCATTAACACAGAAAATATAAAAGTTACCATGAGATTCTTAAAACTCCCAATGCTGGTTCTGAGGTCCTATCTGAGTTTTCTTTGGGAAGACCAAGAACAAGGTCGGCCCACTTCATGTCTGACAGGAAGACTTGGGAAGGCCAACACTGACCTCACTGGGTTCATTCACTTAATTGTAAAGAATCTCCTTGAGTCTGCATGTGCTGGCCCTGACTCAGATACTCTAAGCAGTTTTACAGTTCTAAGTTGAGAATCATTAGGTAGGCTAAAAGAAGAACAAAATATCAAATGGCACTGGGGTGAGCTGGAGGGCAGCCCTCCAGAGGTTGTGACATACCAAATTGGCCCATTCCAACCCCCGTTGTTTCCACGATGGGGCTTTTATCCCTTTAAACTTCTTGCATGCACTTTTATTTTAGACTTTTTTTTTGATGGGCACAGATATTTGCCATGTAAACTTTAGCTAGTGATGCAGGATATCAAAGAAGCCACTTATTATTCTGAACTGCATCCCTGCATCCCAAATCTCAGAAGCACCTTCTTTCTGATAGAGGATTTGAAAGTTAATTGGCAGGTGAATGTGACAAGCCCATAAGAAGGACAAATACATCTAAGTAAGCATAGAAAGTCCCAGTTGTTGACTCTCCCTTCAGAAAAAATAATACCCTACCTCTTAAACCCCAGCCCAAAGCTTATAAAGAACATGGTTAATAATGTGCAGGGGGGAAAAGATGCTCATGTGAAAGGACACTGAGAAAGATGACCAAAGGGGAATCAAGGACAACCTGTAACTTTTAGGAAAGTCTACTACTTTGATCTATTGGAGACTATATTGCTGGTTTTCACAGTGTCAATAGACATCATCAGAAAGTTCTTGAGATAAGTGACCATTTCACTTGAAATTACTAGAACCTGCAACAGTGCCCGGTCTGTGGTAGGTAATCAGTAAAATTTGTTGAATAATAATGACATGTTCAAAGGCTCTGCAATTCAGACTGGCCTCTGAGTTTGCGATGCTATTCCAGGGCCCCAGGAAAGCACAACTACTGATGAGAAGCACCAGTAATTCATCAAGAACAGGTAACAGGAGTAGCCCATCTCAGGTGAGGGCAATAGGGGCACATTGTCAAGAATTTTGAAACAATAATAGAGCTGACTAGAAGCTAGTCTGCCTTCTGCCATCACCACGATCCAGAAATAATTCAAAACAATATCCGTGATAAAATATTCTTTCCCCCTAATTTTTTGTTGGTCTAAGTTCTAAACAAA